GAACTTTGTTCTTCCAACTTTGCTTTAGTCTTTTCACCAGAATACTATTGCAATTTAATCGTTTCAATAGGCGCGGTTGTGGCTAGAGAAACACTATCGGCGATTCAAGGCGCGGGTTAGCGGCTTATTGGCAGTCGAAACACACGATCCTCATCACCGATGGTCGACGCGCGCGCAAGATGGTTAGGGTTTGGGCGTGCGCGCAATAAGGCGGCTGACTTGGTGTGCAAGGCAAGAGATTTGAAGATCAAGCTTAATTAGGACTCTAGTATATTTAGTTTCCTTCTTGCACAATAATATCTAGATTGTTTAGGAATTTAATATTTTATTTCTTTAATAAGTTTTCTAGGTAGATTAGAATTAGTCATAGTTAGGATCTATAAATAGGGAGCATCCCTCATTGTTTTAAGAAGTCCAAAAATTGATGAAATAGAAAAGAACGTTTGTTCGAAACCGTGTGTTAGGATTCGTGAGAGTTCGATCATACAAATCGAATTGGTGAGGCTAAGACCCGAGCCAGTTCAAAATCGAGTGAGCGAGGCTAATTACCGAGTGAACTCCAGTATCGTGAGAGAGTTAGGCTAATAACCGAGTCGATCACACCTATCGTGGAGAGCAATGTCGTGGTGAAGCTGTGTTCGAGACAAGACGAGTGGAACGCAACACACGATCCCTCATTGTGTGTTACGTTAAACTTTTCCTACTCCATTCTTTTTCTTTTGGTCCGATTTTTTGTTCCTTTTTTTTCGAATTTTTTTGAACCCTTAATTTTCGAAAAATTTCGTGAGTCTTAAAAAGAAAAGTGTCATCTAGTCTTTTGTTATTTTTTCCTCCCTTTGGTTCGAATTTATTTCGAATTTTTTTTCTTTTTCGAAATTTTTAGAGTCTAAAAAAAAAATGTCTTATGTGCCAATGGACGAGATGGATTGGGAAGATCTCGAATTGTTGGAAGGTTTGGAAGAGAACTCACCACATGGGAGAGCACGTATCTATACGAACTCCATGAGCGAAGAAATCTAGAAGAATACGAGCGACAACTCGTAGAGGCCCGAGGAGCAAGAGAGGGTGAAGTCTAAAACAATGAAGATAATGGTACGCTAAACTTTCTAATCCTTGAGGACAAGAAAAGTCTTGAAGAGGAGGGGAATGATACGGAAGTGGTCATCAACCCAGGCGAGTCCGAAGATGAGGATGGCGATGACCTCAACATATGGCTGGACAACATGCTAGAGGAGCCATCAAGCCCGACTTATCGGCCTTCGTGCGAGAGAGATTGGCCAAAAGGATGTGGTCCACGGGCTAAGC